TAATTGGTTCCCGATTAGTATCTTTTTGATTTGGTTGTGTCCTCTGAAGTGGTTGATTTAATTACGAAGCTTTCATTGTCCCCCCCCGCTTCAACGCAAGCTTTAATATGAAGTGAGTAAACTTATTTGAATTCTCCATAAATGATGATGTAATTGTACTTCCTGACAACTATTGTCATGATCAGCAATTAACTGACATCTTTATTGACTTGGTCGGTCGGTCGGTCGATTTTCGACATAGAACTTTGCACATATGTGCGGCAGTTCAAGTCGCCACACTCCATGTAGCACACAAGGCAAGAGAATAAAGTAGGAGAAATGCATAGTATAGACAGTAAGCAGAGGTGTGAGACAAAGGAATTTGGAAATCAGAGTTTTTTGTCATGTGACTTATTTTCCATTAGTTGGTAAATTTGATCAATACTGTAACAACAGAAGACAAGGGCCAGGCAACAGATCGTTTATTAAGGAAAATCAACACATATTTGTAGATTTTAATGTACATTATTGTACAATATTGTTAGTAGAAAATACAGTCTTTTGACTGGTTGTTTCTCACAGAAAGTTAACCTTGCATCTCTTTGTGGCTGTGTCAGATCATCCATATGCTGACTGTATCCGCCTACATAAAGCCTTTGTTCTCATTTTCTCACCACCAATATTGGGGACATAAACATTGACGTCAATTACTGTCTACCAACTTTGGCTAGCAGCCGGCTCTCACCACAACAGTAGTACGATTGTTAATCGTCGATTCATCTAAGTAACAGACTTGTAGAAGTTCCCTGGCGTTTTTGGTGTTTCATCTTTTTAAAATTCCCACATTTCCCCAATCAAATTGGGGATTTTAAGTCGAAATGGACACCTACTTTGACCAATGTAGTGTTTATCAGAGTTTATGCAAATTATTTTGTAAATGTAATTGGTCTTGTCTTCTTTGGTTGTTAGATCCTTTGGCCTACACAATATTGAATGAAATGATTGTGTTGGTTTGTGTGCTATGTCTATTTCAAGTAGTTTAAGTATTCTGACCGTTATTTCAGAGATCTTTATATATATAATAGAATGAATCTTCTTGTGGTTTTTGAGGATGGTTTCTTGTTAGTATTTCTATTTAAGTTCAAACATTTTTTGATGAAATTGTATGAGTATTCATTATTCTTCTTGAAGACAGTTAGCAGATGTTTCTCTCTTCTCTCCACTTCAGCACTGGCTTGCTACAGTGTGTTTGAACTCTTCTAAACAATATCTGCACATAGTTTCTTTTGTGAGTCATTGGGTTATTCCTATTATAGTTGAGTATTTGATCTCTGTGTGTTTGTGTGTGTGGGTTTTCTGTATACTTGTGTTTCCAGATTTCCTGTGTTTTTGTTCTCTTGATTAAGACATCTAAGAAAGGATTGTCTTCGAACATGTTGTTGATTAATTTGTGGGTGTATTTCAAGGAGACAGTTTACTGTCTGCGTTAACTAAGGTATTAGGCAGCGTCTGGGAATCAGGCTGATGTAAGTCAATGATTATCACATTTACAAAAAGGGAGACAAGTCTTCCTGTGATGATCACAGAAGGATTAGCTTGACAAATATGGTATCTAAAGTTCTAGGCTCAGTAATCATGAGTAGACAAAGCGGCTCCCGTGAGGGACAAACACGAGCAAACCAGGCAGGCTTTGGACCAGGAAGAGGGTGTATTCATTACACCTTTACCCTTCAACAGATTCTGGAACATAGTCATACTTGATGGCGTCCAACAATCGTCATACTTCTCGATCTGGAACCGGTATTCGATTCCGTCAACTGAGAGGTACTATGGTGATGTTTGACTGGGAAGGGAATGACGAGAAAATGCTTGAAATGATCAATGCACTTCATTCGGACACATGCAGTCAGCAAGGTGAGAGCTTACGGCGAGTTGTCATCTGAAGTGGTGACAACCAGTGGTATCCGTCAGGGGCGCCCACTATCCCCATTTCTATTCAGCTTCAACATAGATGTACTAATGGAATTAACACTAACTGATTTGACTTCAGCGACTCCGGGATTGATTTTTTTCCAGGGAATAATCTAGTTGACTTAGAATATGCAGGTGATATATTCCTTGTAGGTGAAGACGCTGACAAAATGCGGAGTATTCTGAACATGTTGGGTAGCAGTTTTCCAATGTTTGGCATGCGATTCACTCCCCTTGTCAAGTGTGTGACGCTACAGGACCGGACTACATTGACTCTTAGCTTAGAAATAGGCAGTGAAGTGGTTGGTGGAGCATGTTGACCACTTTACATCAACCCCAACGAGTTGATTGCTGACGAAATCTCAGCATGGATACAGAAAGCTCGTTTGGGATACTCCAACTTAAGCCGTCTCTGGCGTAGACATGATATCCGGTTGGTTGTCAACCGAAAAGCATGTGAACTGCTCAGCAGTCTGGTCTGTTCTCTTTTATGGTTGTGAATGAGACATGGCCAATGAAAGTGGAAGACATGAAAAGCTTAGCTAGTTGTCTGACTTTTATCAACTGATACCAGTTATTTTACGATAATAATAATAATAATAATAATAATGATAATAATAATAATAATAATGGTGCGATTTATTCCAAAACTGTACTTGTGATACAGAATGGAATTCTCAGCATTTGTCGCAATATTGCATTGAATTATTTACTCAAAATATAAATAAAATTTAACGACAGGTACCTTTCCATATTTTCAGTGGGAATAATATCAGAAATGTGCAAAGTATAAAATGCGAATAGTAACCATGACAATAATAATAATAATAACAATAATAATAATAGGTTTGTTTAAAACAATATTGTCATTACAGTTTGTAGAAATCTTGGCATGTTATTCAGTATTGAATTTAATGTTCTTTTGACATAGCAGCATAGTGGGTGGGGGGGGGGGGGTTAAACGAAAAATAACAGCTACTACAGAGCTTAAATGATGTTTACAATTGTAGTAAAGAAATGAGAGGACTATAAATATAGGAGCAATAATAACAGTAAGAGTTGATGGTATAAGGACGAAGGAAATTGTTTATTTACTAGTGGAAAGAAAGTTAGTTAATTAGTTCGTGCCTGATACTATTTCCATCACATAAAATACGTGCACAGCATGGTATCGTGGAATTTTTATGCTTAGACGTGCACGCATAAAGTCTCTTGAAGTGACTTCTTGTTCTACCTGAGGAGATACAAGGTGAAAGGTGAGGGTAAAGTGGATATTGACAGTCTGACTAAATGACTTTAGCAAATTTGTTGCATGAAATCAAGTGCTTATCAATGACGATGTCAACGACATAGCCCAATGGGATACCACTCGCCCTACTGACAGTCTTCTGAGTTCTATGAAGTGTGACACAGTCCTTTTGAAGCATTCCAGGAAAGAATAAGGGGAAAGAATAAAGAAGAATAGGTAAGATGAAATAGTTGACAAATTATAAGAGAAGGGGTTTGTGGAGTTATGCCTAAGTGTCTTAACTTCTTAATGTAAGGAGGTAGACGGAATATTTTACTAGAAATCGCTGAGAAGTGGGAAGACCAGGATAGACCAGGCGGAAAAATGAGTCTAAAGTACTTAACGCCAGACTTGATTTCTGTGTCAGTATTATCAATTTTGCAACGGTCGTGGGAATTAACAGCTCCACATAACTTTCTTTTACAGCGGAAACTGAATTTAGCAGCCTCACATTTGGAAGTTTAAAACCATTTGATGAAGACCCGTTTACTAACTCCTGATAGAAAGCCATTCATCTTAGTACAGCCTATCTGGAAGTTAACAGGCACTGAGACAGTTAGATCGTCCGCATACTTAGTAAAGTTCTTTTCATCAAAGTGAACCAAGTCATGCAAGAAGAAAGGAAACAGAAAAGGAGAAAGAAGAGCACCTTCAGGGACGCCAGCCGTAGTAAGCAATGAATTGGACGACTTCCCCTGACATACAGTGTACTGCTTTCTTCCTGAGAAATAAGAATGCAGCCGTTTGACAACTCAACACTCATTTTGAGTTTCAACAAGCTTATTTAACAAAATATCCCTAGGTACCATCGAGTGAAAAGCAGATGTGTCTAAACTAGAGACGATGTTGTTATGCAAGACTGCAGTTGCATCTGAAGTACTTCTACTATGTTTGTAGGTAAATTGTTTGGAATCAGTAAAGGCTTTAAGTGAAGGTTCAAGATTAAGTCAAAGCACCTTTTCCATAGTTAAATTTAACACATGTCCCAGTAGATGACTTTGGTATAGGCATAACTTTAATGTCTTTCCAAACGGCTGGCACAATATTTCTGGTAAAATATTCTTAAAATGTATCAGTGAGAGGATAACATAAGATATCTGCATATTTTTTAGGACTTTGAGAAGAGTTGATGATATCTAAAGAAAAAATCTATTGATATGATATCATTCTATTTCACAGGTTCTCATCAGCTGCAAACTACCTGAAATTACAATGGTTATAAATTATAAGATTTCATACTTCATTGTTTGACAGGTAACAGAGAAGACATTATAAGATGAACGTTTCCGGAATATAAGTATTACAATACTTTATAGTTTAAGTTACCATCAATTTATATACTATCAAACTATGAAAAAACAGAAAGGAAGGGGGGTGAGAGAAGACAGAAGAATCTAATAAAAGTGTTAGCTTGCACATCAACATAGCAACTCAAGAAGGTCAAAGTTCATCAATTTGAAAACTTGCTTAGTGACCTGAGCTCACTAGTGTGCATGACTAACCAGTGTAATGAAAATGACATGGTTACCAAGGGAGTGAGAAATTGACTACACTCTCGATTTCTGTGTGCATAAGTTTCCTCTGAGACGTTTGATTGCAATTGTTGCAGCAGTAAATCGTAGTAGATTCGCTGTCCTTTGTATGCTTAATGTTTTTTCATAGTTTGATAGTATATAAATTGATGTTAACTTAATCTAAAAAGTATTGTAATACTTATATTCCGGAAACGTTCATCTTATAATGTCTTCTCTTACATCCTCTCAACAGAATTTGAGAGGAATTCATTCAATTTGCTATATAAGTTTTTGCTTAGGATGTCTTTAGCAAGTAGAAGTTCTGTACGTCAATTATTTTGTTTGCTAGAACTAGTAGACAAGATTTAATTAAAACTGAATATAAATGTCTTATTCTAATTATATCCATCATGTAATGATATCACTAAAATTTTTTCTCCTCAGAATTATTACATCTTATTAACACTTGATAGAGTTATAGCATGAACTTCGTGGATTTTCACCGACAAATATACTGTTCGATGAAAGCTCTGTAATAATATCAGCTTTTAATTCATTTTGTCTTCCCCCTTGGTTGAGTGGAATTAGATATTCGGACTCTGTTGACAGACATATCGGCTCCTAACTAACATGAACGCTTCGGCGATGTCTGGGGATTAACTTGAAGTAGTTTGGTGGACAGTGAGAAACAGTGGCATACAGGATCCGCATTTCTTCCTAGGTGGGACTCGTCAGTTGGATGTGCTTGTTGTAATGATGTCGCAATTCTTCAAAATAGATTGCTTAGATAAAGCATATGATTGTATTTCTTTATTCCAGTAATAATCTCACTATATGTATATATATATATATATGTATACAATAGTGGTTACTGTGAACTTTTACCCAGTTGTCATATACACCGACACAAATTAGTAACTTTTCAGGAAAAAATAAGAAATAGGTATATGACGACACAGTGTCTGACAATGAAGCGTATACTTTCAGCTGACTAGGAATTATAATATTTCACACATTTATCCCCCTTAATGAACCTGAATAAAGCAAGGACAACAGTTTTTACAGAATAAAATGGTACCATCATTGATTTCGTTGTCTTCTCACCGGCTGCTTACAGCCCAAAGACATTATTAAGTGTATCTACAGAAGCAATTTTAACATACTTGCACAGAGTTCATTTTGAAAGAAAAAATCAACGCTTATAATAATAAACACTTTAGTCCAAACAATATTAATTATACACAATGGAAACTTTCGGCGTTACGTAATCAGGTGAAAACGAGGATGAAAACATCCAGTTACCGGTGCGAGGAAAGACTGATAACTGCTTCTTTCTCACACACTAATCGGGTTTCCGGCGTTTGACAAAGATTACTTTGGCAAAATTGAAGAGAACTGATTTTTTTTGTCTACTGCACTATTGTAAGCGTTTGTTCTCTTTAGATGCAGGTACATGTTCAGTAGATGGGAGGTGTGCCCTTCTTTCTGTTCTTCCAATGTAACTGCTCCCGCAGATGCACTTAAATTTGTGTACACAGTTGGAGTTAACATGAGAAGGGTATCTGTCAACTACTGATTGAATCATAGAGCAAGTTGTTCGATAGACGCAAACCAGCTTAGCTGCAGAATAGGCTCTGGCTAGTGAGGACGTCACTAGCTAGTTGACTAGGAATTATAAGATTACTAATTAGTGTCCCGAGGATGATGAAAATTGCTAATACCAATGTAAGATATGACTGAAAGGTGATCGTAAACCAGACTTACTAATTCAATATTATCTGCCATTGGCGTTGTTAATACATAGTGTTACAGAGACGCAAACTGGATTGAAACACCTTTCCATTGTCCAATTATTCTCAATATTTCTCTAATTCTTGTTCGTTTGCAAAGAAAAATTTCCTCCATGAACTTATCATTTGAATGATTTATTTGCTAATATCTTTTGCTATAATTTCTCTTGGTATTTAGAAACTCTCCGGCTTTTCTTCATGTGTTGCTGCCCTGAGTATTAGTAACATTAACAAGTGGAATTGAGTGATGCATAATAAGTGACTGTGATTTCCTTTCTATAGGTGTAGACTCCGAACAGAGTGAAGCTTAGCTCCTTAGTCAGCTTGACGTGGTATTATTGCTTCTGGTCCTAAACAATCCTTTACGCTGGTCTAATACACTTCGCAAACAGGATAGTGCAGTGAAACACTAAAACTGTATAAGTGCGTCTGGATTAGCTGAAAATAGATACTATGTAAATAAATCCCACTTGATCCATACACTAAAACATTTTTTGAAAAATATTTTTGACTTTTATCAACAGAAAAAGAAAATAAAGTAGATGACGTATCGCTCACTTTATTTCTACAGAGCTAAATAAGCCTCGCGATAACAAAGTTATTTCCATTTTTTTCTTCTGTTATCTGTTTTTAACTTTAGGGACTGTGGTTTCGATTCTGAAGGGTATGGAAACAATTCGTCTACAGTATCACAGTCGGTTGTTTTTACCTTCGTCAGGTTATGCACCAGTCGCGTCTTCACTAAACAACTCATCACCATTAGGTACTGTCGGTGGCATTCCATCTCCATCGTCATCAATACTACATGGGATTGGAGAAGTAACTAGTGGAGCTAATACACCCAGTCTACATGGTGGTATTGAGTGGATGCGTAAATTAGCATTCCGTTATCGTCGCATACGTGAAATTTATAACTGTTCAAGGTGAGCTTGAGTTTTTAATGTTACTCTACGTATCGCTTTTAATACAGTTTTAAAAGGAAACGATATATGTACCGTGTAACATGCTGTATGATCAATTTTTTTTACTTATTATTCATTTCACTGACACAAAAGATGGAAATAGTGGTTTGGAATCATTCAGCAAGAGATTTTAATTAATCTAGATTTTTTACTCCACAGCATTCGCCAGTGAAACGTATCGGTATTCTGTCAGCGCATTTTTTAGTTGAATAGACATAGCAAGAAGACAAAATCGAAAGTATTTCAAACTGTACAATTATTTAGGAATTTATATATACAATCAATTTTCAATTTACAAACTGGTTGGCGATTTGCAACTCTGCACAGTTAGACTGTGGAAATTTCAAATGCCATAAATGGCAATCAAGAAAGCAAGCAAATTTGCACAAGACGACATCCTACTGATTGACTGAGATGATTGGTTGCATACCACTCATATCAATCAGTAGTGCTTGCTAATCAAACAGCGGTAATCGGAACACCGGAAGGTCGTTTCTCTCATCTGGGGCTGAATTCATCAGCGGTGTATCTGGCTTGATTCAGCTCAGAGAACTAAATCAGTTCAAACCACCAGACGTCTGGCTAGCTATTTGGTCGAACTGGTCATACCATATAAGTGAAATTCACAATTTGCAAACCGGTTAGCAATTGGAAATTTACACATTTCGAATGGCGAAATTTAACCATAGTAGCTGGGCAGAAATTCGTGGTTTGGACTGATTCAGCTGTTTAAGCTGAGTCAAATGGGGTACATCGCTGAAGAGCTCAGCCTCAAACGTTCGAAACGACCGCCCAGTGCTTACATCACTTCGATCTGTCTAGCAAGAAATATTGGTTGATGTCCGTGGTATACAAGTTCGCATTTTAACCACTAGGTGATATGTAGTTTTTACGCATTTATGTATTCAGTGTTAACTGATAACTTAGGTAAGAGGTTATTGTCAGTTAGTAACAAAATAAATCTAAGTGTATGAGATATGATAGTATATCAAAAATAGTGAATGATCTTACGTAAACGAAAGGACTGGGAACTAGTTTGTACGGTGATAAATAATCGTTTGGAAACAATCGATAACAGACAAAGGAAGGAAGAATCGACATGATTCTCGTCAGCTGCAGACTACCTGAGAACACAATGGTTATAAAAGAATGACAACAACATACCTCAATGTTTGGTAAGATAACACAGAAAAAGTTATAAAATCAAAGCATCCATAATATAAACATTACAATTTCTTAGCTTTAGTCATCATCATTTCATATGGGTTTCAAAGTAGAAAACGAAGTGGGCGAGGGGAGAAGACGAAAAACAGAAAAATATAATATACACTGTTAGCTTGTAAGTTATCATAACAACTCAAGAGGATTATAGTTCATAAGACTGAAATTTAGTCATTGAGCTGAAACCTGATATGAATGCCCTAGCGGTATAATCAAGATCACAATGCAGTCACCGAGGGAGTGAGAGAATGGTAACACACACTTGTATGCATAAGTTCAAAAAAATAAAATCAAAAGGACTATATTAAAGTTTATTATGCAACAATTCAGGGAAATAAGACTGATGAAAACAAAACACGTAGTTCAGTGTAGAGTCTCTATTTGGCGAATTCATTCACTATATATATATATATATATATATATATATATATATCACCTTTGTCCGATAAGGATAAAAATAAGTTACGGTTTCGATAGAGAAAGAAAGACCAGATTTGCAGTATAAAATGAGGTCATTCTATTTCACAGGTTCTCATCAGCTGCAGACTACCTGAAATTACAATGGTTACATAGATGATAATAACATACTTTAATGTTTAAGTGGTTGTAGAGAAGAAATACTATAAAATTGACTCATCCAAAATGTAAGCATCACTTTTTTTAGTTTAAGTTTTCATCACCAATTTATGCGCTTTCAAAGTTGAAAAGAGGGGGGTGGGGTAAGACAGAGAAAACTAACAAACAGTGTCAGCTCACATAGCAACTCAAAATATTAAATAGACAACGGAGCGATCGCAATCAAACGATTTTAACCAGACTTATGCATACAGAAAGAGAGTGTGATTAACCTCTCACTGCCTTGGCAACTGAATTTTGGTTTCGACTACATTAATTAGTCATCTCATTCAGTGATCTCAACTCACTGAGCAAATCTCAATCTTATAAACTGTAACCACTTTTGTTTTTGAGTTGCTATGTGAAGCTAAGTGAGCTAACACTGTTCGTTAATTTTCTCTGTCTTACCCAACCCCCCTCTTTTCAACTTTGAAAGCGCATAAATTGGTGATGAAAACTTAAACTAAAAAAAGTGATGCTTACATTTTGGATGAGTCAATTTTATAGTATTTCTTCTCTACAACCACTTAAACATTAAAGTATGTTATTATCATCTATGTAACCATTGCAATTTCAGGTAGTCTGCAGCTGATGAGAACCTGTGAAATAGAATGATATCATTTTATACTGTAAATGTGGTCTTTCTTACTCTTTGAAATTCAGTAAATTACAACCAAATATCTCTAATCTTGTTCGTCTTACAAAGTCACAAATCGAAAATGTTAAACAAACGTTACAAGGATTACTTGTTCTTCATACCGATGCGTCACTTATTTTATCTGAATTATCATTAATATGCCACATGAAATTTCTTCAGTTTTGTAAAGACGTTACTCAGAAAACAAAGACGAATATACAAAATAAGTTGAAGAGTTCAACTGATGATCGAAACCGCGTAGATGTTTTTCCGGTGAATCCTGATAAGTATGTTACAAATCTTTCTGATATTACTCTATCTACTCATCAAAAAGAAGCTTTATCCCTTGGACTCAAATTTTGTGTTCCTCGCACGCACTTTACGGATTTAGCCATACATGCTGAGTTTGAAAACTTATATGACCAACTCAAACCTTTTGCCGCAACATCCGATGAAGATCGGGGGTGGTTTAAGGCCAAGATGGTGGATATAGCTCATCAGTTTTTAAACAACAACCCTAAGGAGAAAAGTATATAAATTCCCAGCATTTCAAAGCTTTGAAAGAGCTACGGGAAAATCCTAATATAATTATTACGAAACCTGATAAAGGTTCTGGGGTCGTCATTATGAATAAAAGTGACTACAAATCTAAAATGATGCCTTTCTAACTCTATTGAAATTTATCAAGGGAACCAAATGTATAAGTTAGGGTTATTGTTGTCAAGACATTTCCAACATATAATAAGCAATCAAATTACAACTAGGAGTGTGGTGAAAATTGGTAAGAATGTAGTAGTGATGTGTTGTCAAAATAACAATGTTATTAAGGTTAAGCAACACACAAAAGAAACTGAAATAAGCGTGATGCAGTTACGTAATAAGATGAATAGTCTAATGAGTGAATTGTGATCAGGATGCACATAGAAACAGAAGAAAACATGGAACTATGTAAGAGATCTTAAAAATTACAAATGCTATAAGGAGTTAGAAAAACAAACAAACACACAAACTCAGGTCAGTACAAGTTAACTCGGTTGTTACCATGGTAGTAGAGGTGGTTGGATGATTTTCTTTCGTATACATAACTTTGGTTTCTCCAACTGAATGGCTAAGACTTCAGCAATACAAAGGAGACGAAACTGTATTGTCTTTGGCAGGTTGTTCTTCACTTTGTAGATCACTTTGAAGGAGGCATTTGTTGAGAAGGAATGATCAGTGTTGACGAGACGTTCGACTATCACACTCCTTAAACAGCCACTATTACCGTTTCGTAGCTGTGCGGGAGAGTGTTCTTCAACCCTTTTGAACAGGATACGCTTCGAACAACAAATGTACCTGGCTCCACAGCAACAGGTGAACTGATACTTGAACATAGAAGTGTCCAAATGCGAGATCTTGTCCTTAAGGCTTCTGAAGATCAATGGACGACTGGCAAACACTACTCTTAGAGTTGCTGCGAAGAATGTTCTTTTCAGAGATGCTGGAATTCTTCTCTTGAGGATATCGCAAGCTAAGCCTCCCTTGAAATCCAGATTCATGCGAAGTATTTTTTTTGAAACAAGTGATGTTTCATTCATCTGAATTTTCGGTTTGATATTCTTGTCAACAAATCTTGACAGGTATTTTTATTCTCATCGGACAAACCTAATGTACACAAATACAAAAGTTGTGACTGTCCAGTTAAGTGAATGAATTCGCAGAAAAGAGACTCTTCGCTGAACTAAGTGTTTTATTTTCCTTAATGCCTCATTGGGGATTATTCATGAAAAGAGGTTGATACTATGGCCACGGTAATAATAGAGGCTGGATAAAATGTTTCCAGATACAAACTTGTGGTCTTTCTTTTTGTATTGCTAAAGGTAATCAAATGATTTTATTTTGATTTACAGCTTGATTCCACACCGTATTTTCAGTACAAGTATGACATTTTCAGCATGGATATCGGTAGCCCAAATTTTGCAGGCCCACCATAGATATCGGGTGTGCACCGGCAGGGGATCGAACCCCGGACCATGTGCATGGTCGGCGAGAGTCCTAACCACTGTGCCACCGACTCAGGTTCCCCTTGACATTTTAAACGAAATCTCTCATCGGTGAAGTCAGTTACCTTAACACTAAATTTTCCTCGTCACCAGTTTCCCCCTTCAAACGGAAATGAATTATGCCTGCTAATTAGTAGTTAGTCATTTATCTACATTGTCACCTAGTCCTAAATAATATTTTAGGCGGCTTTCTTTTTCCACGCATAGTTGTCTAACAAACCTGGCTATACTTGCCTGCATGCTAGACAAAGTCATTTTATGAATAAGTATACGGCATACACAAACACCGCAGTTTTGAAAATTATTATGAGGTGTTTTTCTCAGTGTGTTCATATTGTACACTAAACTTTTCACGGACAGTCACCCTTACAATGACTGAAAAAGCCTCAGTGGATAAATAGTGTATGTACTCCAAGGCGATGAGTGAAACAAACTGAATGGAATCC